TTATTTGTGTGATTTTTTTTTTTTGAAGTTTGGCTTAAGGTGCATTAATCTAGGGGCCTCTGGGTGGCTCAGTCGGTTAAGTGTCTGACTTTGGCTCAGATCAAGATCTCTCAGTCAGTGGATTCAAGCCCTGCATCAAGCACTGTGCTGACATGTCAGAGCTTGGAGCCTACTTCCAATTCTGTGTCTCCCTCTCTCTGCCCCTCCTCTGCTTGTGCTCTCTGTCTCTCTCTGTCTCTCTGTCTCTCTCAAAAATAAGTAAACATTTTAAAAAATGTTAAATAAATAAAGTGCAGTACTCCATGGAAAATAGTTTTGCTTCAGCCACAGTCCTGGGCATGCTACCAGAGCATCCACAGTATTTCAAATCAACTTCTTGACTTGGGTTCTTTTTGCAGCTAATCAGGTAGTGTGCATTCTTTTCACAAAACCCTGGGTATGAGGTTTGCTGGTTAGGAATTCTCAGAGAAATGTTGTCTCCCCAACCTGCCTCACCCACCATAAGGCTGAGACCAGCACATAGTTTTAATAATTCTTTACCAAATCTCTCTGCTGGGAAGATTTCTTTCCCTCTAGCTCATCAGCAGAGGTTGTCACCCCTCCAGAGTCTAGGTTGTGTGTGTAATGGGAACATTCGATTCCACCTTCCACCCTGCTCTGGCCCAGGTTTTCTCCTGTCTGTACTCTCTGAGCCTATAAAGACTTTGGCTCTAGGTGCCCTGAGAAAAAGAATATAGCCCCATAGCAAACCCCAGATTCCTCCCTTCCTTACCCAGGAGGATTTTTGCTTTCTTTTTGATTTTTAAAAAATGTTTAATGTTTATTCATTTTTTAGAGAGAGACAAAGAGACAGAGTATGTGCGGGGGAGGGGCAGAGAGAGGGAGACACAGAATCTGAAGCAGGCTCCAGGCTCTGAGCTGTCTGCACAGAGTCCAACGCGGGGCTCGAACTCACCAACTGAGAGATGATGACTTGAGCCGAAGTTGGACACTTAACCAACTGATCCACCGGGGGGTGGCTTTTTTTTTTTTTTTTTTAATTTCTCTTTCTTATTCTAGCCATCAGCGATTTCTTGTACTCTCCAACCAAATCAGCCATGCTTTAAGCAAAGATTTCTCTTCCATATTTCATCGGGAAACAATGTTAAAGCCTCGCTTTAGAGTCACAAGCTCCCAGACCTTATAAAGAAAATCCTGGAGCATATGGTGGGGGTATATGTTTGCTACGTATCACTGAGGACTAGGCCCACATGTGAGTCTGAGCTGATTAGAAGATGTGTACTTAAGATACAAATCTACTTACTAAATCTTGCAACATGTCTCACTAACCACAGCTTTACCACCCTGAACTTTCAGGCACGAATCATCATTAAATCATCCCAGGAAGTTCCCAGTACCTCTGGTTATTCTCAGCCAGTGAACGTACTCGGTTTTCTCTTAACAAAGTGTTGACAAATCACAGGACACCCTCTGCGTTATAAAGGAAGCTTCCGTTGTGAATGGGATGGCTAATTAGCAGAAGAAATTCGCTTCACTGCCAGGACCATCATTAGAATGCACCCCACGTGCCCACCTGGTTCTTGGGTCCTTATCCCTGGATGATTATCATGTCAGTGTCATTCCTTCATTACTCAGCTAACACATACCGAGTGCCTGCTAGGTACCCGGCACCAGGCCAGCTCCTGGACACGTGAAGCGGATACCAATGTGACCTTGGCCCTGTACAGATTCACTTTCTATTGGAAATAACAGAAACATACATACCAATTACAATAAAAACCACTAAATGCTGCCATTTAGGTATCACCATATTTATGCCATGATGTGCACCAGGTGATGTGTGGAATTCCCGAACCACTATAGTGTACACTTGAAACTAAAATACCACTGTATGATAACTATACTGTAACTAAAATTAAAGAGCAAACATAGTTATTTACCTTATAATACATCATTATTTTTTTGAGATGTAATTGATATGTAGCATTGTATTAGTTTTAGGTGCACAACATAATGATTATATATATATAGAGAGAGAGAGAGAGAAATGATTACCACAGTTTAGTTAACATCCATCACCATATATGGAAACAATTATTTTTCTTCTCGTGAGGGCTTTTAAGATCTGCTCTCTTAGCAACTATCAAATATGTAAGACAGTATTGTTACTACAGGCCTCATGCTGGACATCACATCCCCAGGATTCATTTATTTTATAACTGAAAGTTTGTACCTTTTGACCCCTTATTTCACTACCGAACCCTGCCCCTGGCCACCGTCAGTCCGTTCTCTGAGTATGAAGTGAGCACAGTCCATTCTCTGTAGCCGTGAGTTCAAGTTTACGTTCCACACACAAGTGATATCACATCGTATTTGTCTTTCTCTCTGACTCATTTCACTTGGCATGATGCCCTCAGGAGGCACGTGTGTGGTCACCAACGGCGGCACGCTGTCTCCCACAGCCGCTGCAGCGGTTTAGAGCTCCGCCATCAGTGCCAGGCTCCCTTTTCTCCACATCCTCACCAACACTTTTCATCTCTCATCTTTTTGTAACAGCCATTCTACCAAGTGTGAAGTAATAGCTCAACGAGGCTTTGATTTGCATTTCCCTGGCAATTAATGACACGGAACACCTTTTTACATGTGCCTTCTTTGGAAAACGGTTCAGATCCTCTGCCCATTATTTTTTTTATCAGATGGCTTGGTTTTATTGCTATTGAATTATAGGAGTTTTATATATAGTTTGGATATTAACCTCTTATCAGATACATGATTTGCAAACATTTTCAGATGGATGATTTCAGACATATATCAAATATTATCTGATTTGCAAATATTTTCTCCCGTTTCACCCCGCTGAACGTTTCCTTTGCTGTGCAGCTTTTTAGTTTGATAGAGTCCCACTTGTTTACTTTTGCTTTTGTGGCCTTTACTTTCAGTGTCTTTATTAAGACTGAAAAACTTTAAACATTTTGAAAGTATTTAGAATCTGACAGCGAATTGCTGAACATTGGATTCCAACGACGGGTGGAGGATTCTACTCACCAGGAATTGCGTCTGAGATCTAAGCGCCTTGCCGCACCGGGGCCACAGAGGATGACTACTTACTAACTCTTGCCTTCACCCTCACCACCTGGAAAACTTGCTAAGCCTGATGGTGCTGGGCCGAGTTTGATGCTCCAAGCACAGTGTCACAGGCTAGGAACCGTGTGTGAGCGTCTCTGGCTTGAATTCCCATCTTTCAGGTTTTCCAAATGTTTGCCTTCGAGAGGCGCTGATACTACTATATGTGATGTAAGCATCCTGAACTTGGCACCTGACCTTCATTACTCAGAGGCCTCATCTGTAAAATAAGTTTGTTAACTTACTACAAGCTGCACCATTTCCTCTAGGTTATTATGAGGAGCAGCTGAAATCATGGGAGTCAAAGTGTAAAAAAATACTGTTATGAATTTGTTGACTATTATCATTATTATTAGAGTAATATCAAGAGTGTTAGAGCATGTTATGGTATTTTATTTCTTACCTAATTTATATTTAAAGTTAGTAAGTAGTTAGCTAATTTTAGTAGTTTCTTAATATAAAAATAGCTCTGGGAATATATTGGGATAATTATTACAAGTTAATTAAATGACTGCATGCTCACAAAATTTTTTTTTAATGCTCTAGAAGCCGAAATGGAGGGATTCTATTTGGATTAACATGTTGAAATATATCTAGATATAGACCAAGACCACACATTTCTTGAACTGAATCCAAAAAAGTAACAACCCATGGGGTGCCTGGGTGGCTCAGTCAGTTAAGCATCTGACTCTTGGTTTTGGCTCAGGTTCTCATGGTTCATGAGATTGAGCCCCAAGTTGGGTTCTATGCTAACAGCATGGAGCCTGCTTGGGATTCTCTGTCTCCCTCTTTCTCTGCTCCTCCCCTGCTCGCTCAATCTCTCTCTCTCTCTCTCTCTCTATCTCTCCCCCTCTCGAAATAAATAAATAAACATTTATTTTAAAAATGTGCCAATTCTTTTTCTGCACATGTCATTCAATAGTGAAGTAAGCAGAAAAGATCTCAGCATCTGAGTGATTGGACAGGAGCAGAATGAGAGTCTGCAGTGGTCGCATGAACCCTCCTCTTCCTGTGCTGAGGGTCGGGGATAATTCAGTTCTCTAACAGGAATAATATTTGCAAACATTTCTGAGAGCTCACCATGTGATTGATCCCAAGGCAATTCAGAGTATCACTTAACAACATGTGTCAAATATTAGTCCCAAGCCTTCCAAGAAATCCACTCAATGTTTGATACTCCCAGTGCACGAGGCATTTTTTATTTCCATCTAAGAGAGGAGACCTTTCAGAGAGATGAAGGGGTGTCTCACAGTCACCCACCTGGCTGGAACCGGGACCAGAGCCCGGGCAGCTGTCCGCTGAGCCCAGGGACTTCCCCCTGGGCTGTTCCCAGCTCTCTCCACATTCCCAGTCTCGTCAACTTCGTTTCCTCCTTCTGGCTCCTGACAACATCTGGGGTTTCCCATTTTCCAGGTGCAAGGAGTGAGGATAACAAGATGGAGAAGAACATTTAAATGTCTGACTCACCAGCTTTGGGCAAGTGTTCAACTCCCCTAATCCTCGATGTAAAATAAAAATGAGTACACTCTCCTGACACAGCCTCGAACAAAGTGTCTGTGGAACATTCACCCCCCAGCCTGCATGCTGGATACCTGACAGATGCTGCTTCTTACTGTTACTCAAAACAACAAAAGAGAGGTTCTCGCGCTATAAAATCAAGCCGTGTTTTCTTTCTTAGCTTGTGAGCAAAGGGGACAAACCAAGAGAAACATATTCCATGCACGTCTAACCTTGTCCACCACTTGCCAAGTGACTTTATGTTGTGCTTCTTGCCTGAAGGCCCTTCTGTCCCTAAGAATTCCCGAACCAGTGTTTCAAGGAACCTCAACCCTGACATGGAAGGTCTGAACTTCAACTTTCTATGTCTTTGTCCGCAGGCCTACAGAGTTGACGAGAAGGCCGCGGAGCGGGCTCGGTGGGAAGAGGCCTCCAAAGAAACAATCAAGAAAACCACCAAGCCCTGTCCCCGTTGCCACGTGCCAGTTGAAAAAAATGGTGAGTCTGGGCTGTGGAGAAAGTGGGGATTTGGTGAGCTTCGTGGAGAGCAGGAGCTGCAGGGCTCCGATCGTCAGGAGCTGTTGGAGGCTGTGCAACTGAGTAGCTCAGCGCTCAGGGGATTTGGAACCATCTGCCAGAGTGCAAATCTCTCGGCTGCCCCACGTCAAGTCTCTTCACTGCCTAAGTCCGAGGTCCTCCTCTGTCAAACAGAGATGTAAACAGAAGCTGTCCCCCAATAGGAGAAGCATGAGGCTTCGGGTAGGGCAGATACTCAGCCAAGTGCCTGGTGTAGAGAAAGCACTCCATAAACACTGATTGCCCTTATTATTATTATCAATATTAGATACTTTGTATCTGGTAAGTTGTCTACTACTCTACCCAGTGTGTGTGTGTGTGTATATATTTACATATCTATATACATATATATACATATATGTATATACATATGTATATATATGTATATCTACTAGATTACAACCATGTTTCCAGAATGGATTATGGTCACAAACCAAGGTTTTACTATATATATATATATATATATATATATATATATATACACTTCCTCGTCCAATATTTCTCAGTGTATCCCCCACAGTATTCTGGTGTCTGCAGACACTCAGTGGGGAGAGGGGGAGGTCACCGTGCCAAATACATTCGCCAGGTCATTCCTATTACAGCCCCTCTTGGATAAAACCAACGGCACAAACAATTAACTTGTACTGAGCATTTATTCGATGCTTGTTCTGGGCTCCCTGCAACTATCAGATCATCCAGCCTTCCCAGGAGTCACATAAGAAAGCTACTCTTATTATCCCCGCTCGCAATATATGTTAGCAATCTAGACTTCCTTCTATAAAGAAATCTGTTTAATTGTGTTTGATGGACGGGTTCCCAAAATTTTTGGCCGTGATACTCTTTGTTTCCTCATCACACCAACTTGTGTACCTTTGAGCAGCAGCACTTGGGCTTTGATGTCCCCATCCCTGCTGTGGACACTTAGTACCTTATGTTACTATGGCGCTTGCCTCCTCCATTAAGATAGCCTTCGCATGAATATGTTTCTCAATAGAGCTGTTCCTTTGGCTTTTTACCAACAGCTCTCTAAATTTTAAGAATTGTGAAGTGACAATGTGGGGATTCACCGACATTAACCACAGTCAGTCTTTTAGGGGCCCACAGTTAGGCCCTGGTTTGTATGAGTCAATAGGCTTAGAAGCACAGGAGCCGCTCTCGAACGGTTCTCTCCCAGCGATGCCCCAAACCCCAGACATCAGCTCCCAAGAGGGGCTGCTCTGCCTGCCTGACACACGCAGGCTCTGACAAAAGCCTGAGGTTGTCCATGCCTCCTCATAAATGCTGGAGGCCACTGGGGCTATGGGGACACTGGGGAGAGCTGGCAGACGAGAGGACTGTCCGTCCTGCTCCCATCCTAACGGACAAGTGGCCCCTGTAATTCGCTGTAGGACACGGAGGGAGGCCCACTCAGCTCCATGATGTGTGTCCATGCTTGTGGCTGCAGTTTTCTTCTCCCCTGAACGTCCCCTCCTCCATGACCGCATGGCTGTCGTGTTACCTGCCAGACGTCATTGTACAACCCACCCCTGCTCTGTGGCATTTAGATATTCGGAGTTGCACTTTGGGCCACCCCGTTCACTTGAGTCTGACACCTTGCAGCAACCAGGGGGTGCCTGCCGCCATCCATCCTGGAGGCGGCGGCCAGCATCAAGCCATCATGGCCCAGTGCAGGAGCCCGTCCAAAGTGTGACACATCGGCGTGTATGAGGTGGAGCAGTAGCACTGCCAGATGAGAAGTAAAACAAAGCACCCACACTCTCCTCACTAAGCATTAGCTGCACCTGCTTGGAAGGCCACTAACAGCTGGCTCGCTGTGGCGTGAAACCCGGCAGTCTGGAGATGGCCCCCAGCTACGCCCTTTAGAAGGCCTTCATTCTTGCAAAGGAGAGAGCGCGAGCACATCCCAGAGCAGCCGGAATGGGCTCAGCTCCAGCCAAGTCCCTGGCACTGAGTCAGTGGTCTCCTGGAAACAAATAAATCAGTGCACGCAGTGAGCTGCTCTCCTCCTCTGTGTGCTAGAATGCACCTAGAGCATGCAGCGGGTTGACATACACATGTGAATAGAGAATGTCGGCGGAGCCAGGGGTAAGACCTCTTCCAGTCCTCACTGCTTGAGCAGTGATGCCCAGCACATGTAGACAACCTGAAGTCAGAGGAGACGCCAAGACCCTTGACTACCCTCCACTTCATAGTGCAAGTTCAATAGTGAGAGACCATTTTGCTATCACCCAAGGTCAGGAACTTTGCCCATCTATCTCCCGGGTCCAGAAGAGTGCCTGACAAACAGTTGTTGAATTAACGAGTATCTGGTAAAGGGAGGAACACATAACCAGATATTTTAAATAAAACATGATAGAGAAAGCAAGCTAGCAGAGCGCAAAAGCCTGGGAGTTAAGAGTTGCCTTCCCAGGGGCGCATGAGTGGCTCAGTCGGTTAAGCGTCCGACTTTGGCTCAGGTCATGATTTCACGGTTTATGAGTTCAAGCCCCTCATCGAGCTCAGCACGGATCCTGCTTTGGATCCTCTATCACCCTCTGTCTCTGCCCCTCCCCCCCTCTCTCTCAAAAATAAAATAAAAATTACCAAAAAGGAAGGAAGGAAGGAAGGAAGGAAGGAAGGAAGGAAGGAAGGAAGGAAGAAAGAAAGAAAGAAAGAAAGAAAGAAAGAAAGAAAGAAAGAAAGAAAGAAAGAAAGAGTTTCTTAATCCACCATTTCTTTGAAATAGTGTGATTTACTATAAATGGAAGCACTGATTTTTGACCTATAGATTTTTAACCTATGAACAGAAAAGTTGAGACTTTAAATTTATTAATGATAGTCTCCACTGATTTTTTAAAAATGTTTTTGTGTTAACATTTATTTATTATTGATGAGCATGGGAGAGGCAGGGAGAGAGGGAGACACAGAATCTGAAGCAGGCTCTAGGCTCTGAGCTGTCTGCACAGAGCCCGATGCGGGGCTCGAACCCACGAGCGGTGAGATCATGACCTGAGCCAAAGTCGGACACTCAACTGACTGAGCCACCCAGGCGCCCCTACTCTCCACTGATTTAAAACATGCAGCCTCAGAGATACATGTGAGCTCTATGGTCCAGAAAAGCATGTTTCATGATCTCGTCCTCAAAGTAAGTTCATGGCCTGTTTCGTGGTCACTTGATTCCCAGAAAGTAGTTCCTCTGCAGCAAAGCGGAAATGAAAATGAGGCTCATTTCCAACTTAAACACAGGCCAAGCCTGGGCACCTCCTCCTGCAATCTTCCGTCTCAGAAAGTGTCTTCCTTCACTTCCACCTCAAACAGATGCAATTCCGGTTGCATTCTCTGATCAAGTGCCAGGTTGCTCCAGAACCTCCACTCTCTCATAAACCTAATGGAGGAGTGGCTGGCCCCAGCTACGGGGCTGACGGGGCGTAGGCTGGGCTTTTCAGGGTTTGAGCGTCAGTCAGTCGACAGAATTCTCTATGAGGGAAGCCATATTGTCTTCATTTAAGTGCCCTCAAAGTCATGGGAAGTTGTCAGCAGTCTCTTGCCCATTCACTTTTAACTTGGCAAAGCTTTGGGGCACCTGGGTGGCTCAGTTGGTTAAGCCTTCAAATCTTGGTTTCAGCTCAGGTCATGATCTCACTGTGAGATCGAGTCCCAAGTCAGGCTCTAGGCTGATAGCTTGGAACTTGCTTGGGATGCTCCTTCGCCCTCTGTCCCTGCCCGGCTCTGGCGTGCTCGCTTTCTCTCTCTCTCGCTCTCAAAATAAATAAATAAACTTTAAAAAAGAAGTTGGCTGAGCTTTTAGAATTAGAGTCCCTGATTCTTCTCTCTATTATCAGATCTAGCACACTGCCTTGTGCATATTAAGCACCAAGGTGGAAAAGAAAGTTAATAACATGAATATTCTCTCTTCCTATGTCCTTTCTTCTTATTCTGCAGAGCCATTTTGTTTTTAGTTTCTATAACAAAATCTTGTTTGTAATGTTAGTATTCCATACTCACGAAAATTTGGTATAGTAGGAAAACATATTATTTATACCGTATGTGTACAATCATTAAATATGTGTTGAAAAGTACATAATCCGGCCATTGTGTAATCCTGAACAGGAAATATTAAGATGAAAGTGTCATAGGTTGAGTTTCCCCCCTTATTTTCTGCATATTTGTAATTTGTAAATGATCTTTAAAACAAACCAAAAAGAAGTGGGAAAGTATGAGATTTTAAATGCCCTTAAATTATCCCAGAACAAATTCCTTCAGTTGCATATTCATAAATATTATAAATCAGTGGAAGTTCTCATGCCACGTTTCTAATAATAAAAATGAGACAGTACTGAAGCAATTACCTAGAAAATTTGGCAAGAAAAAATGACTTAACAAGATAACTGGTAAAACTGAATAATAGAGCACATCCCATGTTATGTGGGATTCTAGCAAAGAACTGCTTTTGCTTGAATTATCTAGGAAATTCAATCAGAAACTGTTCTCTACACATAGCTTCATACGAGTAACTTTCTCCACACTCCACTGCAGACTTGAGGTCTGAGCCCCAGAAGCAACTAAGAAACGAATTTAACGAATGTGGGAAGGGGAAGAATCCCAAAGTGAGCCCCCGAATAAGGAACCTTTCATCTCATGCTGCAGAGGCCTTGTTCTGTGAAAGAACAACAGATCCTGGTTACATCTCAGACTTTGCCATTTAAAAGTCCTTGACCTTGAGAAAATTCTTGAACAGGGTAACACTGCTCTCTCACACAGTGTTTTTGAAGAGTGAAGGAGGAAATACATTTAGTGCTCCTGCTTCTCCCCATCTGCTCATCATTTTTTTGTAATTTTTTTAATGTTTATTTTTTAGAGAGAGAGAAACAGAGTGTGAGCAGGGGAGAGGCAGACAGAGAGGGAGACCCAGAATCTGAAGCAGGCTCCAGGCTCTGAGCTGTCAGCACAGAGCCCGATGAGGGGCTGGAACTCACAAACTGCGAGGTCGTGACCTGAGCCCAAATCGGACACGCTTAACCGACTGAGCCGCCCAGGCGCCCCTCCCCATCTGCTCATCTTAAATAAAATTTTGAATAGCATTAAGGACTGCATTCCCTATAAAATACTTTTAATGCTGCTGTCCCAACTCCTGTCTCATGAATTTCGCCAAGCTGAGTTATATTATATATTAAGTTATTAAGTATATTAACATCTATTTAAAACATCAAACTTAATATATATTTCAGTAAGGAATTAATCCTGTGAAACACAAGGCATCTGTCTCTAAACTCCATTTCAGGAGAAGTAAATAAACTCAGATTTATAAATAAATTTGGTCCTAGATGAGGGTGGCATGCTTCTTTTATAAATTTTTTTAATGTTTATTTATTTTGGAGAGAGACAGAGCATAGGGCCGGACAGGGAGAGAGAGAAGGACACACAGAATCTAAAGCAGCTCCAGGCTCTAACCTGTCAGCACAGAGCCCAAGGGGGGGGGGTTTGAACCCAACAAAACGTGAGATCATGACCTGAGCTGAAGTAGGAACCCTTAACCCACTGAGCCACCCAGGCGCCCCTCACCTTCATTCTTTCTTAATGAAGGCCATTAACTGCACGGCTTCCCCAGGAGCTTTCTGACCGGTTTTCCTCAGCCCGTGGTCTGCCCTTGAATTACTTGAGACATTCCCTTAGGAAGTCGTTTCCCTCCCTCCCTCCCTCCCTCCCTCCCTCCCTCCTTTCTTTCTTCTTTCTTTCTTTCTTTCTTCTTTCTTTCTTTCTTTCTTTCTTTCTTTCTTTCTTTCTTTCTTTCTTTCTTTCTTTCTTTCTCTCTCTCTCTCTCTCTCTCTCTCTCTCTCTTTCTTTCTTTCTTTCTTTCTTNTTTCTTTCTTTCTTCTTTAGTTTATTAATTTACACGGCACCTGGGTGGCTCAGTCGTTAAGTGGCCGACTTAGCTCAGGTCAAGATCCTGGAGCTGGTTTCAGCCCGGCCTCCGGCCCTGTGCTGTCGCCTGCTTCGGATTCAGATTCGGTCTCCTCTCTCCACCCCTCCCCTGCGCATGCTCTCTCTCTCTCTCTCTCTCTCTCTCTCTCGCTGTCTCACTCTCTCTCTCAAAAATAAACATTTTTTTAAATTGTAAGTTTATTATTTTTGATAGCGTTTGCGGGGGAGGGGCAGGGGTGGGGAGAAAGAGAGAATCCCAAGCAGGCCCTGCGCCCACAGGCTGCTTGCGGGGCTGGAACCCACAAACCATGAGGTCACAACCTGAGCCGAAACCAAGAGTCGGATGCCTAGCCAACCAAGCCACACGGGTGCGCCCTAATCATTTCTTTTTTGTTCGTTTTTTTGTTTTTTATTATTTTTTTTAATTTTTAAAAATTTTTTACAAATAGTTTATTGTCAAGTTGGTTTCCATATAACACCCGGGGCTCATCCCCACAAGTGCCCTCCTCCATGCCCATCTCCCCCCTCCCCCTCCCCCCATACCCAGCAGTCCTCAGTTTGTTCTCAGCATTCAAGAGCCTCTCACTGTTTGCCTCCCTCCCTCTCCCCCACCACTTCCCCCCTTCTTCTGCCCCGTGGTCCTCCGTTAAGTTCCTCCGGACCCTCCGGTACGTGCAATCTGGCCACGTGTAGCGCCCGAGGCACCCCCAGAAGGCTGCGCCGGGGCGGGCGGGGGCGTGCTCCAGGGCTTTACCCGCGTGCCTTGTCTGCCCGCAGGAGGATGCATGCACATGACGTGCCCGCAGCCCCAGTGCCGTCTGGAGTGGTGCTGGGCCTGCGGCTGCGAGTGGAACCGCGCCTGCATGGGGGACCACTGGTTCGACGTGTAGCTGCGGCCCTGCCGGCGGCTCGGAACCGCGCCGAGCGTCCCGCCCTCCCCTCCAAATGCCCTCTCTCTCTGCCTCTGCCTCTCCTTCACACACACACGCACGCACGCAGCCCTCAAGGTCCTTCCAAAACCACAAAAACAAAGTCCTGGCATCTCTCTCTTTGTGCGCATGAAAATACCCAGCGCCCAGAGCACACAGGGCCGTGCGGTCCCGCCTTTCGCATGGATGGTCACTCCCGCGTGATGTCAAGTCAGGCTGGGTAAGGACACAGAGATTTCTCAGGGTTTTTTCATGTCTTGCATTTTACCTTCAGCAAAGATCGGGTGAGGAAATAGTTTGGAGGGGCTGGCGGGGGTGGTTCTGGGTAAGACCGACCATGCTGGATCCTGAGCACTATATTCACAGCCTTATGAATGTTCTCATTTAAAGTTTCAGAGGGCACCTATTCCCAAAGAACCACAGGCAACAGTCAAAACTATGCGTTTATCCCCAAGAATTCTACCGTATATATCGCATCGATGAAATATCAACTATGTATAAATCAGCTTGTCAGCTAGTGAGAAATTATGAAAGTTGATTTGACTGGTGAATGTTCAAATTACAGGAAAGAAATCAAAACTTCATGTACTTCCGTTCTCTTTAATTATTTGCACCTTTAGAAAGCAATTGTTTTTCTGAAAATAATTGCAAAGGCTGTAATTCAACTTCAGACATTTCATTTCGCAGCTTGGAGAATAAGCTAGTACATTTGGCTTTACTGTGATTTTAATGGATAAGGTGCCCATAGAGGAGACTTTTTTATAAATGGCTTTATGATGATTCTCAATGTTAACAAAAGTGTGGGATATTAAAGCAGAATCTTTAAAGGAGGAGCATATCCAGGACTATCGAAATGAGGCCAGACCTGATTCGGTACCACAAGAATTTATGCTCTCTCTGCACCTGCTATGACCCCCATCTGCACACCCCAGGGGCTCTGCCCACCAGGGGGTGACTCCAGGGGGAACCCTTTCCTCTCGGACAGTACAATCACACCAGGAAATTTCCTCATGTTGACATGCATCGAAATGGAGTGTTCATCAAGTTTTCGTCTTTTTTTTTTCTGAGGCATCCACAACGCATGAAAATGTGTCTCACTAAGTGCAACAAACCTCATTTTCTACAGAGCACTCTACAGTGAAAACACTCTACCGCCGCCTTTTGTTCTCATTGTCTTGTCTTCTCAGGAACAATCACGACCACAGCTGAGGGTGTAATGAGTTTCATGGATGTACGGCACCTGGAAATGATAAAATCAGTAGCAAGGCTTCCCTTTATGGACATAGCACCAGGAATCCTTGCTAGGGAGAGACAGGGAATGACCTCAGAATATTTCCCAAGGACATGTGTCCCTCTTTCCCTAACCATCCAGGGACAGCCCTGCCTGATCTCCATCTTCCCTCAGGGGCTGGACCTGGGGCAAGATGGGGTGTGGCAGCCACAGTGGCATTAACAGCCTCTGTCAGAAAACCCAGCCTCCGCAACATGACCGCAAGCTTCCAGACTCATGTCAGGAAGCCTCCAAGATCACAGTTCCTGGAGAGCCATGATCTGTGAGTGTGCAAAAAGGGAGGGTCACTGGGCATGAGCCCACCTGTTCCCGTGGCTAGTATCAGTGCTCAGTCCAACCACCACCCCACCACCCCCAGCCCAGGGCCCAACTGCATTGTACTGACAATCCCAGTGAGTCACAGCTTCTTACAGTGACCCAACGTGACAAATCCAATGGCTCCCTCATCTGGAACACCCAGTATTTTATGTCCACTATAGCCTTGGGGTTTAGTGATGCTCTCATTATTGTTCCCTTCCAAATTTGCATGGTGTGTTGGATGTGTGAAGCCCGACCAAGGTTTGATCTCATGGGTTCGGGCACCATAGAAGTTTCTAGGTCTCTGCTCCTTTCCTGGTGGTGGTCTCTTTTATTTTTCCCCCGAGTAGGTCACTGAAACAAGTTAAAGAAAGAACAGCGTCTGTAAATGAATATGAATCACAAATCACTATAAATGAACGTGTCTGAGCATGAATGCTGTAACCAAATGTGAATATATCAAAAGAGTAGAAATAAAATCTTTGCAGAAGAATCTTTATTTTCCGCCGGAATGTCTAAAGAAATATTTGACGACTGTATCTAAGGTTGTATTCAAATTATCAATAAAAGCATCAAAAAAGCTTTTGAGTCCGTCTCTGAAGATATCGTTTCAATAAATGCTGACTGTGTGGGAGGGAAACACAGGACCCCTCGCTCCCGGAGCCTCCCCCCGTGGCCTGAAGGGATCGTCTGGTCAAGCAACAGCCATTTTTAACCAAAAAGCAGATCATCAAATAAAAATCTAAGGGTTACTTTCCTGCCTTGTCAGCAAACTTTTCTCAAAAAATGTTCAAAACAGAAGCATGAGTCAGGAGAAACCACAAGGACTTTCTCTGTAGTGTCATTTCAGAAGAGCTCAGTGACTTTGCATTGCTCCTGATGTGGGTGTGTTGACAGTGCGTTTCTTTAGAACAATTTCAGCTGCTGTGCGTTGACAATGAGTCTGTGTTTGAGTAGTCAGGACTGGCGCGTTCTTTAAGAGCTCCTTCGTGTACATGTATCAGGCAAGTCTCACACCATGAGGGCCCATCGCTACCAAACACCGCAGGAAATGCTCTGAAGAAACACAAAGTTCTTAGGGATGATGGCCCGGGTGGGGACTCCCCTCTCCAGCGCTAACTTAGAGAGCTGATGTTGTGAATTGAGATGAATAAGCGCAGACGTAGAAAGCCTATTTGAAAAGCACCAGCAGATGTGGGGAGAAGCCATCATCACTGTTTGGATGGGGTTCGTGCTCTCACCGCCACCCCTGCCTGGCCACGTCTTGTACCATGGAGAGCATCGATGTCAGTTTTTAGAAGAAAACCCTTTCCCTTTTTTTAAAGGATTTTTTTTATTTTAGAGAGAGAGTGTGCACACATGTGCACATGAGCCAGGATTGTGGGAGGGAGAGAGAGAGAGAGGGAGAGTTTTAACGGGGCTCCATGGTCAGTGAGGAGCCTGACACAGGGCTCAATCCCATGACTCTGGGATCATGACCTGAGCTGAAATCAAGGGTAGGATGCTCAACTGACCGAGCTCCCAGGAGCTCCAAGAAAACCCTATTTCAAAACAACATTGAACCTGACTTCCAATTACCCCCTGTGAGTAAACTGTCCAGCCACAAATATTTAACTATTTTCACTGCAGTTTGTATAATCATGCAAAAAATAAGGTGAGAAGTATTATCTGGGAAGACATTTGTGCCACAATGGGCGGCACTGCCTAGGCGGGTGCCCTGATCCCATCATCTGAGGCGTAGGCTGAGAGAATCAACTTTGTCAGCATCTAGAGGTAACTCGGTGCCAGTAGACTGACTCACACTAATCCAACTTATAAGAGAACAAAGTACAAAACCTAGAACATCAATTTAAGTCTATACTTACAATGAGAAGCTCATGCCCTGGTCTTCACACGTGATTTTCCACCTGCTTGGAATTTTTACAACCCGCTTCACAGCCCTCTCCTCCCCGCTTGGGCTGGCCAATCTCAGGTCTCCATTTAATCAGCTTTTCCAGAAACCCTTCCCTTACCACCCTGGCCTTCACTGAACGTCCTTGCCATGTGTTCCCAGAGATGTGCTGCTTCCCACATCACAGCAACACCAGCAAATTCTCCAGCTCTCCAGATAGCACCTGAAGGCCCTGCAAGTCAATTCAGTTCTGACACCAACTACCGGGAGTAGGTGTCAGACCCCACAGGTAAGCACTCACTTCCACAAGACTGCCCTTGCTTTACATGTGGTGCAAGTTCCTGGCGGCCGCCTATAATTCTCATTGGCTATGAATCTGGGGTTCTCATAATCCTCTCCTCAGGCTTAGTAACTTGCTAGAATGACTCACAAAACTCAGGAATGTGCTTTACTTACTACTATGGGCTTATGGTGAAGAATCCAGACTCGAGAATCACTGAATGCAGAGATGCATAGGGCAGGGACGGGATGGGACCAGGTGTGTCTGTAGAGCTCCCGTGTCCTCTACAGCCCCCCCCCTTCCCAGTACCAATCAGGAAGCCCTCAGAAACCCATCATTTAAAGGTTTCCACGGAGGTTTCATTAAGTAGATATGATCAATAATATCATTGGCCATCAGTAATTAACTCCATCTCCACCCTTCTGGTGATGGCTATGGATTGGGGCTGAAAGTTCCAAGCCTGTAATCACACCTAGGTTTTTCTGGGAAGCAGCCCCCATCCTGAGGCCATCTGGGAACCCCCCCCAACCACAGTCGTCTCATTAGCATGCAAAAGACACTCATCACTCAAGAGATTCCAGAACTTTGGAGAGCTATGTGCCAGGAACTAAATATATATCTTATATTTATTATAAATATATATTATGTGTATTTATATGTATATTCCATATGTAAGTATAATTATATATGACATATTTATAATAAGTATATATGTAACATAGATATATGGGGGCTTTCTTACATAAAACTTTCCTCATTTATCTTCCCAGGAGTGCATCAGAACAGAACTATCATACTAACCTTTGTATCTAGCCCTGGGCTTGCCACAGACCAGGCTCCTTTGCCAGGGAACTTCATTCTTAAATTCTGAGTGAATCTACATGGAAAATCAAGCTACAATGAAAAGCTGACTTCCTGAGCCTAGAGCAGAGCTCAGTGACTTAGCTGCACCATGTGCTGGTCAATATTCCCTGGACAGATGTATCATTTTCCGTTACAAATGGGTATCGGACACAAGCCAGGAAACCCTGGGCTCAGATGCGGTAACCTTACCTCAAAGAGTTTCTGAGATCTGTGGTCCAAAGGTTCTACTTTTAAAGTCCCTATTAAGACTTCACGGCCCTCCTTCCTCTCCGTGCCCTAGGCGACCTCCCCTGCCCGTGAAGCGCTCCTGAAGGTACTCCAAACGCACCAGCAGCAGAGGCTCACTCACTGTGTGTCCTTTCCACAGAGGGTTTGTTTCGTCCACGAT